CGGTTACTGCATCGCAAAAAGAAATATTACTCTTCGACAGCAAACTTGCATCTATTTTGGTCCTTCAGGCTTACTGGTCAATGTCCGTCGCGTTTTCGGCTTCTACAGGATCAGCTCACGCCGCGGAGCAAATGATTGTACGCTACCAGTTTATCAAACATGACAAACCTCCTTTTCTTTATCTCCATGTCTATTGAGGCTATCTATGCCTGCAAGAAGATGGAGTCATTCCCTACGTTGTTCTGTCATTTAATCTTCATTATGCGCTGAAGTTAAAATTGCTGCATGCAGTTCAACCGTCCTTATTGCTCTATCTGAAAGTGATTTAATTCTAAATGTATGACATCATCGCCGGAAACAATTCAGCCTAGACACTAAAACTGGTCGACTTAATGGTTTCCCCTCCCTGTTCCACTTGTACATCAGCTGCGTCTGATGGGTTCCTCATAACTTTGGACTTCCAGGTGTTAAGAAAAGAACAGCTTTCGCAGCTGTGTCGAGTAAACATGTCATCCAGGTTACTGCTTACTCATTTCAAATAGCCATAAAGGTTGAAGTTATCGTCCTGCGATGAATTATGAAAATTTTACTCTTGCATCTTAAGTACAGCATACATCTCATTCCTTTGCAACGCTTCAGTCCAATCAGAGACTGCGATTCAGTGCTGGCTCAAATGGTTCTGCAGTGTTCTCTGCAAGGTTTAAAGGGACACCTGCTGTTTTACAGGGTTAAATCCACACCTCCCTAACGCCTGTGCTGCATACCATTTCAATTGGCGAAGTTTCAATGCTTACAACAAATTTGCATTTGTTCTCAGCTAAAGATGTCGCAAAATTTTGCTCCATATTAAGCGCCGTCAGTGCTTGGCATAGAGGATAAATATCATTACGATATCTGCTGCGATGGGCGTGGATTTTTGGGTTGCACATCATGTAGCACTTATCGCACCATGTTGTCAAATATGAGATGGTGAAAGAAAACCGTAACTCAAAGGTGCTGTAGCCAGACAGCGTGTTTGCTTACCATTTCTCAGGTGGTTACATTGAAACAAAGCAGAGTGAATTCTCAGCCAAAGAAATTACCATTAAAGAAATTTTCCGGGCCGTGACCCGAAAGGAGAAGCGGCGATGGAAGAAGAAGATGATGATGATGAAATTTTCCGGGATTGGAACCCGACACCTTCAAACTTTCAAGACGACTGGTCAGTCCTGCGCCAACATCGCAAGACCCATAAGTCACACCGTACTTCAGTATAAAGAAGTCATAAATATTCAACGTCTGTCTCCTCATGCTAAAAATTTTAGTGCCAATGGTGGGGAATGGTCAAACTGGACAGATAAAAAACAGACAAGCACAATTATTAAAAACATAAAACAGGCATCTCCGCTAACCAAAAGTGATCTTTTCTGATACTTTCTGAAAATCGTAGGTAACTGGAATGCTGTCCAAACAAACGCACGGAGAACAGTCCTCATAAGAATCCTAAAACAAATACAAGCATTAGTCATTTAATTTCAGACAGTTCCTATCCAAAATTCTGTTTTATAGGGTAGCAGTTTTGGCTCCCACAAGAGGTCATCAAAGAAATTATAGCTTCTTTAAAAGAAACGTTCTGTAACCAAATATAACATATACTGCTTAGAGAAGCAGCTTCTCCCGTTCGACCCACGGATTGGTCAGAAGCTGATTCATTTGTTAAGGGGTTTTAAAAGAAGTGTTTGGAAGGAAAAGCAAACGCAGATATAAAAGTTAAGAACAATGTTAAACAGCAAAAACGAAAACGCAGCTCGCTAGCGAACTTTACAGTACTAAAGCCCCAATAAAAAATTCCTCTTCGACCTGAATGACAAGGAAAATTCCTTCATGCATCTCCTCCAAATAGAAAGGACATGCTAAGGTACCACATACAATTTTAAGATTTTTCACACTGTTGAATAGTGTATAAAATAGAAATGTTGCTTTAAAGTTAATGAAAACGGCATAAAGAGGTAAACAGAACCGTCAGCATTACTCACAGTCATAAGTGGAACTGTCTATTTAGTGGCATCTCCCGAGCCTTTTCATCAAATAGTGAAACGTCACAAGCTTTGTCATTTGACTAAGAAGGTAACTGAAAAAGTGTACGTTTGTAGTAAAGAGTCAATTTTAATATTTTCTGTCAACAATACCTCCTCATTTACTTACGCATCACATGAAGGAAAGGAAAGGAACGTTTACCATCGTTGGAATGTCGGTTTTCTTTCGCTTTCAAGACTGGGCCATTCTGGCTCGATTCTTTTCACTAAGTTGATGATGCAGTACTGATTTCTGTTTCTATGCTATCGGCCAAGACTGTCCTATCCTCATATTAAAGGCAGAGTCTAGAGCCATGTGGCAAACATAGCACGCAGTGTTCTCTTTCCTTTCCACATTGTGGAACTCATCAAACTTGAAAAGAACGAGTAATCCTGACTAGGGCTTGAACTTGGGGCCAATCGGCTCTGAATTTGACGCGCTAGAACAACCTCATTTGAAGCAATGTACATCAAATTCTTGGATGGGAATTCATGAAAAAATAAAGATGACCGTCGAGCGGAATCGAAACCGGCACCATCGAATTTCGAAGCCACATCTTAGACACTGTACCAACACCAATACAAATGCTCACCGGCTTTGATGAATCATATACTACCACAGGGGAGTCGGAATGACCTGACCACGACCACGACGATGATGCCGACGAAATTGAATTGCTGGACTCAAGAGACCCAAAGTCAAATACACCAGAAGGATTGTCACTGTCGCAAGTCACCGAAGCAGGTCTAAAATATGAGACTTTTAACAACCCAGAAGAGAAGAGTCAAAGACTTACAAGTTAGGACTAACTTCAAGTTGCGAGCACGAGTTGGAATGCAAGTTACGATCAGGGACCGCTCTGGTTTTTTTCCGTAATGTGGAACGAGTTTCCATCTGAAAGTACATAATAAACGCCGTACGTTAAATTTAAAGGTTAAGACTTCGCTCAACTCTGCCGTTGCCGGTCCCAACCCTCGCTGGAAAAGGAGGAGGATTGGAGACCGTGGCAAAGACTCCGGAAAATTTAGCCACCTGAAACTCATGGTTCTTATTGCCGGCATCTACAGAAGATATTCCAGTTTACGTAACCGCCTTGAGACAGAGTTCGGTCAGTACAGCCAACAAATCACCTGTGGCTAAGTAGCACATCGTAATTAATCACTCCCAGCATTGTCAGTATAGACATGAGGTCTGGTACCACGGTGACAGACACCATCAAGTTGACGACGCTGAGAAACGAGGGAAGGCAGAAAATACAAGAAAGCATGGCGATTTTATTGCCTGTTTACTTTAATAACTCATTAGAAACAAAAAATTAGCAAGACTTACATCATTTAAAATGATGATACTACAGTAACTTAACAACGCTTATAGACCATCGCGCTCGCGCATACATCTAGTTGGCACCGAGAACAAAGTAGTCAAATTCAAATTAAACTTCTTAGATTACAAACTAATTTTTCTATGATTGATTTTCTGCGATACACTTCAACCAGTGCGTCCATACATTACGAACTGTCAGAGAGTCATGCAATTTAAACCAGGGTAACGAGAACAAAAGATCTCTCAAAGTCAGACATAGGAATCCATAATATCGTTGTACATAAGCATAATTGATTTGCAGGTAAACGAAAATAAAACTGTATTCACATTGGTAGATCTGCTTAAAAATGTGCGAATATGAACATGACTCCATGAATGGGCCTACACATTCATTGCGTTTATAATTGTGAACTCCGACATATATCATGTGCAAACCAGTTCTTCGCAAATCCCTTTGCTAGCTTTAAAGCGGCTGAAAGACGTC